AAAAGTTTCCTGGTCCCACACAAAAAGAGTTTCCAGATCACATCAGTGCTTTTTTCAAAATAATCGACATCGATATGATAGATGAAATTATGACAAACACAAATTTATATATATCTAAAAACAGAGTTCTTTACAGCAGGGAAAGAGATTGTAGAAGTACAGACAGCAGAAATTATGGCATTTTTGGGTTTATTATTTCTGATTGGGACTAAAATAAAGAATAAGACGAATTTGTGCGAAATATTCGCGAGAGACGGTTCAGGAATTAAAATATGTAGAGCTGTTATGTCTATAAAAAGATTTATCTTTTCACTCACAGCCATTAGATTCGACGACCAAGCTACCAGAGAAATTAGAAAAAATTCAGATAAACTAGCAGCAGTCCGAACATTTTTTGATAAATTCATAAAAAATTGCAAACAGACGTATTCACTTGGATAATTCATGACGATTGATGAAAAGTTACAAGCATATCGAGGTAGATGCTCTTTTATACAATACAAAACCAATAAACAAAGTATGGCATCAAAATATATGCTTTGGTGGACTCGAAAACCTTCACGTATAATCTTGAAATACATTGTGGTAAGCAGCCTGCTGGACCATTTCAAGTTAGTAATTCTCCATCTGATGTAGTTCTTCGATTGGTAGAGGGTTCAGAGCATTCCAATAGAAACTTAACGTGTGATAACTGGTATTCCAGTTGTGAATTGAGTAAATTCCTATTGGAAAAAGGCACACGTTTATTGAAACTCTAAAAATGAATAAGAGGGAAGTTCCCGTGGAATTTTTATCGAATAAGTCGAGAGCTGTTGGAACTTGTTCATTTGGATTTCAAGAAAATCTTACACTAGTTTCCTATGTTCCCAAACAGAAGAGAGCCGTTCTTCTTATCTCTACGATGCACGATAATGACTCAGTTGATGTGGAAACGGGAAAACCCGAAATAATTCTTGACTATAAGCGCACCAAGGGAGGTGTTGACCAGAAATGTAATGCATATTCAGTATCTTGAAGAACAAAACGATGGCCATTTGCCACATTTATGGCATTTTTCAATGTAGCAGAAATAAATGCATACATTTTATATACATATGGAAAACTCAACATTGACATGGGTCATCAACATCACAATAATAATAATAATAATAATATCGTTTATTATGCATAAAAATACATTTAGACATAAAAGGAAAAGGGTGAGCCAAAGGCTATCTTCCACCCCTCCCAAAAATTATACAGTGAGTATAAGAAAATAATTATAAACATAATTATTTACTATCATAACAATAATAGAGAAGAGAAGAAAATAATACATCAAATAGTTGCTAATAACTCTTGAAATTCCTAACATTATTTTGGTCAATTTAACAATTTCATTGCTCTACCATACATTGAATTTTAATTTTTTTAAATTAGCACTGGGCAGTAAGCATCTATGATTTTATTTATTTCTTAAATTGATGAATAGTATGATTTAAAAGGGGTAAAATTTCATTCAGATAAGAAACAAAAACATCCTTGAAATTTGGAAGTACGGTGCCTACGTATGTTGGATGAGTTAATTCTCAAATTGACCATATATATGTCAGAATGCCTGCTCAATAAACTATATGAATAACTAGGTGTTTCAGTTTGAAGCAACTTAAACTAAAACATTTATATCAAATATTGGACTCTGTGCCTCAATTCAGCTCCTTCATTTTTAACAAAAATGGGGTGACATGTTCACCATATGGTATACAGCATACGAATCGCATGCAAGCATTTTGTATACGTTGTAACTTCTGCTTGTTATATTGCGGCAAAAAATTGTAATACACCGAACAACAATACTCGATATGGGGGTAAATAAGAGTTTCAACTAACCTGAGTTTCATTTCTTCTGATAACTGATACTTGAATTTATATAGCGATTTGAGTTTGAAGAATGATACTTTGAAAATGTTTGTCACATGTTCATGGAAAGACAAAGAGCTATTATCTATGGATACGCCAAGATTTTTAGCACTGTCTACCCAGTCAATGTCTGCGTTATCGGGAGTGAGCCTAAAGCTATACTGAGTTTCTACTATTTTTCTTTGAGACCCTATGCATAAGGCCAAAGTTTTATTTGGATTGATTTTCAGTCCATGATTCTCCGAGTATAGGAATATTTTGTGCAAATCTGTGTTTATATCGGCCACGCAACTTTCTGTATCGGTGTTATGAGAAGACAAATTTAACTGTGTATCATCTTCGTATAGAATTACTTGACAATGTGATAAGACACTGGGTTAATCAAAAATAAACACTGAAAACATCAAGGGTCCTAAAATATTTCCCTGCGGTACACCTGAGATTGTTTCTTTTAGGGATGACCATGAGTAATCATCCAGTTTGACCTTCTGTGATCGGCCTGTGAGATAGCTGGTCATCCATTTGAGAGAAATGTCATCGAATCCTATGAACTTGAGTTTGCTGATGAGTAAATTGAAATTAACTAAATCGAAAGCTTTACTTTGATCAAGCAGTACTAAAATAGTGACTTTTGATTGATCTCTGAATCTCGCAAGATCGTCGATTACTTTCAAGAGGGCAGTCTGTGTTCCGTGTTTTTTGCGAAACCCAGACTGCTTGTACGGGAGTATTCGATTTTTTTCAAGAAAAGCTCTTATTTGACGGGAAACATTTTTCGCGAATATTTCAGAGAATGAAGGCAGAATGCTGATAGGAGTAGTTAGTTTAAGCCGATTTCAGAACCTCCCCCCACCACTTTTAACCTAGAAATGACCTCTACGTCACACGAAGTAGCGAAGGTGACTTTGATGAGGTATTATGAGTTTGACCTTCAACGACCTTGACCTACGTCATACGGCAACACAGACAAGGTGACATTGAGGTGCTGTTTTGGGTTTAACCGAAGGCGAAGGCGACTTCGACTCTGAATGAACTCGAGCCAGTTATGGGGCTTTCTTGAAGTTTTGAACCTACACGACACAACGTGTTTTTTGTGTCTGACCTTGAATGACCTCCAACTACGTCACGCGATAGAGACGATATTATTTTGGAGTAGTGTTTTCGGACACCCAGCTTCTTCAACCGCTTTCTATAAATGTTCGGAGGATCACCATTTCACATTAGTTTGAATAACCCAACGTACTCGAATAGATTAGTGCTGCAAAGTGACAGAGAGTATTACGTCAGGAGTATACACAGCAATCCACGTGAATATATTTTATATTTCTATACCATAATTCCACTATATTCGAAATGGATCATTTGAAATTTAATATCGAAGAGATCAATTCTGCAATAATTCAACAAAGTGTGGCTATGGAGCAGAAGCCTTTGATATCTTTGACTATCGATGAAGGTTATAAAATTGAGAAGATGTCGATGCTATCCATGCGATTTGGTAAATCCATTCAAGTAGTTTTGTTGGACGAGGAAAATAATACTTCTTTTTAATCATGGCTTCCAAAACGTGTCACAGAACATTTTACGGAAGAAATGATTCACGAAGTGAATCCATCCAAAGCCAAATTCATTTTTACATATATGGGTCAAAGTTCTCAGGATTATCCTGGTGCCAAAACCCGCTCACTAGTCAAATTTGATATTTTAGATTGAATATAACTTCAATATCTTTGTGAATAGTAGAAATATGGTATATTAATGTAAAATATGGATTAGCTCCCGTGCTCCAAACAGGATCAAATTTCAAGTGAGTGTTTTTTGTTTGCAACATAATTTCCAAAGTAATGAATGCATTTTGTGTATTTTCAGAGTACGAACATGTGGATGCAATATTCAGCCGAAGAGTGGCCGGAAGCAGTCAATTTGGATTCTGCATTAAGGAGGTTGGCTTGGGAATTAGCCGACTTGAGTTTTGACGCTCTTCACTCATCAAACTATGATTTAAGTGTATGTTATGATGCTGAAGAGGTACGAAAACTTTTGGAGCTCAGCGAGAAATATGAGCTTGGTGTGGCACTGTGCCATAAATATTCGTATGTAAATATCAATTGGAACCACAGAATCCCAACCTACAACCGGAAGAATCTTTAAATAATGGTGTTGTGAATATTTGAAATCTATTGTGTACGTTATAAATAAAATAATGTTTCAATCCATGTTTGTCTATATCTAATTGTTTGGTAAATAAAATGCAGAAGATAATTATTGAGTGTTTTATTATTTATCAATATTGAATACTCCATGGTGAATTACATGTCAATTTTATTACAATTCAGTCTGAACAGAGCCATTTAGGGCATTATAGGACAAAACAGCATCGTGTAGGATGAGTGCATATACTTTGGTATATATCTGAGGATGTATCACGAAGTGTGGGTAATTCATAGAGGTCCCATATACGATAAGCCACCTTTACTTTTGCATTATTCGCATTTTTATTGATGCGGTTCAATAGCTTCAGTTTCTGACGATCTTCCGGCACGATGTGTCTGATTCTCCATTCTATTTTGTTGATTTCCAAATGAGCATCGACTTCTCCAATAAACGAATTTTTGAATGAGCGTGCAATAATCAAAATGAGCTCTTGTTCAACATTCAATACTCCTCTGTTGTAATCTTCAGCAAAACCCATGAGATACTTCAAGGGTAATTTTCCGCTGAATACATTGCTGACGGAATCCAATATATCTTGTTTATTCACATCAAGACTCCATCCTATTGATAGTAGGGAATTTGCATGTGTTTGTCCAAATGATATCATTGTTTTCATTGTGGTTGTTATGCCGGGTTTTCGAACAACGGCCACTTGCTCTCCACCCATTTCATAGCGAATTTCGTCGAAGAGGAAGGCGAGGGCGTTATTGGATAGGTAGAACTGCTTCGTGGCATCAGATGGTGTGAATTTCCCCTCGATATAAATGTAACTGTCTGCAATATCGAGTATAAGGTCTTGAAAATTGATTGGGATTCGGATTTCATCTGAATTTTTGTAATATGGTGATCCATACGGTTTATATGTATGCTCGTGAAGACTGATTAGAGAATGATCAAACATGGGCTCCTCGAATACCTCCAGCTTATCCCTCGTGGTGATGGTCGCCATGTTATTACTATTTTTTATATCGCACCTTCAAGCCAATAGATTTGAGAAAGTTTAAACTACTAGCGCTTAGCCTATATCTTGACCATTTGGCGGGCATACGTGGAATGAATCGACTTTTAGATTTTCTCTTCTTTGAATGCACATGATCATAGACTACATCAAATGCATTACGCTTTATCAATTATTATCATCTGCTCAGCGTTAGGTAATGATAAATACTGAGTAAAAATTTTGTTAACTCCTGCTTTATACTGATTTTTTACAGATGATCATCGCTCACCATCGTTTTTGCTCTATTGTTTGAGAGCTTATCGAGGGTTGTTTTCTCATAACAGATTGCATCGATTTGATATCCTTTTCCATATGTTCACACTTTTTTACAATTTCCACTAGTTTCAGCCCAAACATAATGAGATCTTCCCTGACTGATGCGGAATATATTTCTACTCTATCTAATCTCAAATTGATTTTATCAATATCAGAATCTAATTCTTCTCTGATCTTTGAGATGTAAAAACCAACATATTCCCGATTAACACAATCCGTACTCTCTTCAGGCTCGGCTATATTTTTCAAACGTTTATTTTCCATATCAAAGTTTCCATCGTAAGTCAATTTAAAACCAACTCCAGGTTGTCCTCGCAAAACAGTATTTGAAGTTGCCTTACTTCTGCGACCAAACTTATCAATGCTTCCTCCACTCATTTTTGTGATACACTTATGACGGTCGTCGATGTTGTAAATCAACATATGAGAAATGATGATCGTTATAGCCTAATCAGTTCCAATTTAACTATTATTTTTTCACTATTGAAATTGATTAGAATACCATTATCATCCAATATACGTAAAGTGATATTGTCGAGGTACCTACGACCACCAGGCTGGATTGGCATATAAATAATATTTTGCGGTTCCGGGCTCTACATCAATATCAAATTCAAAGATGCTATGGATTTCATCACCATTTGAATATGCTCCAGCTGTGACATTACAATCCACACGAATAATTCTCACCTTATTGATATTTACGGGCAATGTTGATTCATGAGTTTCATCGATGCCAAACACATCGGCTTCGAACCCTGAAAGTTCGGCAATAGTGTTTTCATGTTTGAGATGTATGTAATATTTTGACCTCATTCCACATTTCAGAGTGTTGTTGTTTGCGTGTAGGAGAAATACTCCATCGATACTCACTTCAGCTCCATTTTCCAATTGCATTTCTTTGGATTTGATGAATTTTTGAATCACCTTATTGATTTCATCAATTTCATATGCTCCAGGTGGAATTTTTATAATGATAGGAGGTGAGTTAGCTTCTTTAGAATAGACGATAACATGATTTTCCACATCCACATTGAATATGGAGTTGTAGGAATAGAAACCGTGTAAGCTCAGACCATAATTAGCGCCACTATCCAATTCGATGGGTGGGTAGCAGTTGGCGCTCAACTCGCTAGAGTGTCCCGACAATGAAAACGTGCGTGACATGACTGATGAATTTTCACTGATTCATGTATTTTTATTGTTGACAGCAGAAATTGTGGAGTAATCGTCGTTTTTTAGGTGGTCTGTCCAGATGATCCATCCCATTATGTGTGACTACATTCACATCATTCACTTTACAATAACAACAGAAAATTTTTCTTGTAGGTGGCCCATCATTCACATCGGAATTATTGCTGTTGCCGCTGGAATTATTCTGATGGTCTTGGCAGTACTGATACTTTAAGACATCAATATCATTTTGTAGATTTTGTGGTAACTTATCCCATACAGATGCAATTTCATGCGATGCACACCCAATCAACACCTCTTTCGGCATATCAGCGAGTTGTTCTTTACTCATTTCTCGTAAAGTGTGTACTCTGGAATATGCGATCAATGAATGACTCATCCTGTTCATACTTTCCCTGTCCTGCGCTGGTATTATCTCCATGTCTTGCTCTGTAGAAATTCCAAACACAAATGACCACACCATACTGTGTTGAATTGTTGTTTACGCTCATAGTTATATGTGATAATATTGATAGGATTTGAACCTCTATAAAAATAGTTGATCAATTTTTTTGGAGGGGGTTAATCACCGAAACTATCAAAATATTTCACTGAAGTGTCACTTTTTCTGTATGCTACCCAGTGTGTCCCTTGACCATGTCGACTATCCAAATTTACTATGGCAGATTCAAATCGGAGTGGTACCCGAGTGGTCCTCGTTTACCTAGAGCGATTGTTTTTATTATGTCGATTTGTCTCACTCAATTGCTCCCTAATCGCTTTCGCTGCTTGTACTGGTTTTGTTATGCCAGCTGTAGCACCGGCTAAACTACCTAACTCCGATAAACCCGCAATAATTGGAATGAGTGGTAGTATTCCACCAATTTTAGGAATTGGTATGATTCGCGGTGTGCGAATTTTCTTTTTCCCACCCGCAGCCCTCGTATATTTACGTGCTGCTTTTATTGCAATTTCAGCTGCTCTTTTAGAATTTTTAACAACAAATTCACTTCCGCCCGCTTTGTGTAGAACATCACGCACTTCCTTAACGATTCTAGAACCAAAAGCTATCACCTTAGAATCTTTCAATAGTTTTTTTGATTTTTTTTTCTTGGTAGGACCCTTTTTTTCTGTATTCATGACTGCTTGAATGGTGACTCGCAACCCATACCAAATCGCCGTTTTGCCTTCATTATATTCGTAATTAGCCAAGTGGCTCCTTTCTCTCCAATAGATGCGTCTTTTGCCTTGAATTGATTCCAAGCACTTTCTGCAAGCTCCTGATCCGCTATATGTCTAGCTGGAAGATTGTTAGGATTCTGTGAATATGCAATATCGTGTTTTCGACATGCAGAATCCAGTTGATTGACACCCGGATCATCTCTCGCCAATCTTTTCTGCAATTTGGTGCCAGGGCCGCAAAACTGATAGCCAGGTAAGTGTAATTCGAAAGGTAGACTATTGATGAGGGAATTGACCAATCCCCTACCAGATTTATTTGAATGCCGCTCAGGAGATCTGCATCGGCTCATAACCCCCATTTAAATAAAGGAATCGATATGGAGACTTGCTTATATAGTCTCCAACTGTCATACAATGCGCATACTAAAGCAGAAGTACCAATTTTCCATCGATAATTTCGATGAAAAAGTGGGTGGCGGATCGGAAAGCGGTGTGAAACAATGTCATGGATCCTTACTTCCACTATCCATCCGTGGTCTGATATCGGACCTTCCAATTGCGGCAAGACAAATGTTATGATTTCTTTACTGACTCTCCCTCTAGGATTACGATTTGCAAATGTTTATCTTCATTCAAAGTCCCTTTATCAACCCAAATATAAGTATTTACGTGAAGTATTAGCTCTAATTGAAGGATTGGGATTTTACACTTACGCCAATAATGCAGCTGAACTAGTAGAGCCTTCAGATGCTAGAACCGATTCCATATTCATTTTCGATGATGTGATGTGTGAGAAATAGGATGTTATACGATCATATTTCAGTATGGGTCGTCACAAAAATGTGGATTGCTTCTATCTAGCCCAAACATATTCACGAGTCCCGAAACAATTGATTCGAGATAATTCAAATTTTATTGTGCTATTCAAACAAGATGATATGAATCTCAATCATATTTTTTCTGACCACGTGTCACCAGATGTGACATACAAGCAATTCAAAGATATGTGTGCGAGATGTTGGGGAGGATAAATATGGATTTTTAGTAATTGATAAGGATCGAGAAGTGCTAGATGGACGTTATCGAAAAGGAGTTGATGCTTTCATACATCCTTGACGTTCTTAAAACAATTGAATCATTCGAGTGCTAGATAGTGTGGACGACGCTTCATTGTACACATATTTGAAGTGAATACATTATGGAGGGAAAAAATGATGATGAAATGTGTTTGAAAAGAAAGTTAATTGAAGCAACAGATGCCGTTCGGAAAAATTCAATTATTTCAAGAATAGTCGCTAAGGTGATCAATCAGCACTCAAAAGGATCTATGAGCCAATAATAACACCTTTGAAAGCAATATCTGCCAATACTGGAGGAGCATCTCAGATATATCAGGTGATGCAGACAACAGAGAGTGTTACACCACACACCGCCAAAAATATAGTTAAAAGTAAGGTAAAACTGAAATTTGAAGAGGCTTTCTCGAAGGATCTTCAAGCTTCTACATCGACAACTTGAGATTTAGAATCATCTAATGTGCTTGATAATGGTGATAATGTACAAAAGCACAGACAAAAGTTACTGTCAGGAAATCCCTCATACGAAACCGTCACATGAACACTGAAACGGGAAATTTACAAATGGGTGTAGCTGATGTGGAGTTCATCGATGAGAAAATTGTGTTCAATTGCCACTTATCAGGGTACCCCAAAACTATATAAATTATTATTCATGAAAGTACCATCGGGAAATATCCTCTCTTCCGATATGACCGCTTATGGCGATATACTCAAATTAACGAAGGCAGCATATAAATACAATGAGAGAAAACAGGATCTACTATCAAATAATTGGATGAAATATCGAGAAATAATCCTACCGCTATTATCCAATGGAAACCCACTGCAGAATCCCAGTAGAGAAGGTACCGGTATAATCCAAATACCCACTCAAAAAAATATATCAGAAATAAGCATATAGATTATGTTTATTGGAATAAACTCGAAGAATTGGTTGATCGCCTTCGATTGCTTTGGAGTTCACGAATGGCTGGACATACCGGGCACGATAATGAAATATTGGCCATAATTGAGGAATTACGTGAAGAAGGATTAGTCTATTGACCGTAATATAATGAACACAATGTATGAAGCTGACTCAGTTACTCACAGACGATCTAACTATGCATACCACAATTGATAAATTTGGGCGTAGAAGGGGTGGTGTTGGTAAACCACTTGTTGGAAGATCGGGTGTTGGATTCATTCTCACACCACATGGTGATTATGACATTCAGAATAAGCGATTGCAGAATATTG